ACAATAGATAAAGCTCTAGAATGAACTAACTGAAAAGCTTCCTCTCCTCTGATGCCACTTCAGTTAAGAGGGTGGTAACAATATGGACTACTTCTGCAGGAAAATATGTAAGACAAAAATGGAAGCGACTCTGAAATCTGTTTAGCTAGTCTACTATGGGGATTTCAGCTACTACGTGTTACAGTGCTGTCAATAACTTTACGGTACATATTTGTGTGCCGATGTGAATGAATCCCATGTCAGACATTTTGAAAAGGAAAATATTTTTCTCCAGTAATGTACTGGATCACTTAACATACTCAGAAACATTTGGTTTACACAGGTAGAGAATGTGAGCTGATAAAAAGTAATTTGAATATTCTCTCAGTTAAGAAGTAAATCCAAAGTAAGAAGTTTTCAGATTTTATAATATTCAAAGATCTAATGATGTCTGCACGTATTTAGATAAAACTGACAGGGACAGCGACAGAAAAGCCAGGTATATTTCTCCTCTTCTGTGGTGCTCTGTTCTCACAGGCAAGCCACAGACATTTCAAAAATAATCTGTACCTTTGCTGTACTGCCACTGAACAGCCTAGTGCATTTTATACTTAAATATGAAAGCAACACTATAATACAGTATAGCATTAAGATTTAGTTTGGTACTCTGAAAAATTACTGTACTTTCAAAGGGATTATATGATAGAATCTGACAACAGCAAACTCTGTCTCAACAGTTGCTAGTTCAGCACCATTTAGCTTACTAAATCCAAGCTTTTGCTTATGGGCCCTTAACAGAATTCAAGAGTCACCATACCTTACCTTCCCCAAGCCTACTTTCACTAATGCAATTCACTGCATCATTCCAGGATCCACCTAAGTTTTGAGAACCTGAGGTCTCAAAGCTTCTTCACCCCCTTTTCCTGGCAGAACTGACAGGGACAACAGTAGTTGTTAGAGCAAGTCACTAATTGCTTAAGTAATAGCAGAGCAGAGAAACCACCTTCCTTAGCTCATACAGAGAAAAAGATAAAATAGTGCATATTTTCGTGGGCCTTCTTGCTCCCTACTTCTTCCCATGATAACCAGATGAAAGCATTCTGCCTGCTTTTCACAGCTGCTATGATTGAAAGCGACCAGGAAGAGAGAAAAGTCAGCCCGTAAGACAGTTGGGGTGCTTTGGGAATCAGGGAAAGAGAGCAGGTCTGAAATGCACACATTTGTTTTACCCCCAGGCCTCTGGCTCTTTGCAATTATGGAAACGCAGATTCACAGTTGTACCAATTACATAAATCAAAGACTCCCTTACTCACTGACATAGGGATTGAGGCTGCAAAGTTTAATAGTTTGGTATGAATTTGCAAGAGACTGAGAGACCTGCAGGTAACCACTGAGTCGTTCTTTCTACAATCAACAACTTTTCCTCTAATTAAAAATAACTTCCTTATCCTGCTCCCTCTTCCTCCCCCTCCCCTCCCCCCCCAAATAAAGCAGCTCAGGATTGTTCTCTCTGCTTACTCTAACACATAATAAGCATCAGAAGGGGCAACGTAGAGGAGCATGAAGCACCAAATAAACAGATTTGGAGAGGCTAACTTTTCAAATCAAGTTTACTCTGCCTATCAGATCTGCATTTCCTTTGAAATAAGTCTGTGTACTAACCGAGAAGTCAGTGAAGGCTTTCAGGGCTCTGAGCAGACAGCTGTGGAAAACAGAAAATATTCTCACATACTGACATAGCAAAATACCCTACACATATACCCTGGAGGCTTAATTTCCAGATCAATACCATTTCATGAAGTCTTAGTTTTTTTTTTTTCCCTAGATCACTAGTTATGGGATTTGGAAACAAAGTGATAGCAAACAGTAGGACTAAATTTGTGGGTATTTCTGCTTCTGAAACATCCTAAAACCTGCTGAAAATATTAAACTCCTTGATGTGCATCCTTCCAATTACATCATTTATAGCAGGAAACTAAACCAGAACAACTGCAGTCACAACTGCAACCTTTTTGACATGATGGGACTGTTCAATATTTTAGTGTTTTAATCAACAGAATAAAATATACTATCCCTTTGGCTAAAGTGTTTTGGCAGTCTGGAGTCAAAGGCCACTAAAACAGCCAAAAAAAGGTATCTGGGTTGGAAACCAGAATTTTCAAATGCCCATTTCCTTAATTTAAAGGGTCAGGGGCTGGAGGAGGGGGAGTTCTTTCCATTTAATGACTTGAACACAGTGTGGTTTAAATAGCATGTTTGATTTGGGAACCTATTAGCTGATAATGACTCTCTGGAAAGAAAAAAAAAATGGATTCACTTATTACTAGTGTGATATCTGTAATCCCAGGATGTTGTGAAATAGCGCAGCATTCAGAATGAGCTATTTCCCATTTGTAAAAGCAGAAGCATAAACATAGGGAAAGCAGATTTCCCATGTTAAACACATTCCTGAATTCTGCAGTACTTTTACTGTCACTAGAATTAAGAAAGCAAAATTGGGTGATACACATATTGAAGCTTCAGTTTTGGAAAGCCTGCATGCCAGGCTTCATAGGAATAAAAAGATGGGTGACAGCAGTCTAAAGAAGTTGCTATTTAAGCAAATAGGTGCAACTATATTTCAAATGATCTTTTGATAGTAGAAATTAAGCAAATGTTTGATTAATGACAGCACTGTAGATCCTTCTTGCTAAAGAAGCAGCATTAAAAGAAACATCACTGTAGTGATTATACAGGTCAGAAAGGGGAGGGTAAATATAACTAAGGAAAAAATAATCCAAATGTGTGATTTTCCTTTCTCTTACAACTAAGTAGTCTAGTAAACTAGAAGGAGAAACAGTCATGTAAAATCAACTTGAAGATCCTGCCCAGCAAGCTGATGCAATGATTCTATTAAAGTGATTCTAGACACTTTCTTCCTGTTACAGAACACATAATAGAACACAAACGAACATAGCTGTGATAAGATACAGGAGAAGTCAACCTAAATGATGAGCAGTGTTTTAGAATTTCACTGTTCTTTGACTTCTTTCATGTAGGCAATGAACAGTTGAAAAGAGATTCAAAAGCCTATCAAAACCTGTGTTCAGGCATTCTGCAACAGAAAAAGAACTACTAAAAAGCACGTAACAAAGTAAAGGCAACTCAGTTTTACTGAAGAAAAATCCAGAAACAGGCATAAACCAGCATCTCTTCCCATTTAGAAAGGGCCTTCTAAATTTCTGGAGCAATTAACAATGCTCTCTACTAGTCTACAGGCCTAAACCCAAAGAAATTGCCAATGCTCCTGATAGGCCACAGGCTTTCCATAAACATCTGCAGGGCTGCAGCACCAGAACTTGCGAGTCATATTTTCTCTAAGCCTGTCTTCAGTTTCTCTTCAGCTTGTGTAGCTGTAATAGCAACTCTCTAATACCCAGTTAACACAGCCTAATCCGCTTTACGTTTAACTTAGTTTTGTGATGGCATGGGCTAGTGACTATCGGTATATCAATTCAAGTATATATATTTGTACATAGACATTCTGCAGAGAAAAAACTAGTACTGTAGAATAAAAATGTAATGTAGAGGACTACAGTCACAGAGATATAGGAAGTACAGGGTGGTACCAAAGGGAGAAGGGCTATAAACAACGTAACAGGTCAATTACTAGCCATTAAAAGAATGCAACCTTGGGAGCTGACTGATTTTAGAAAACAAAGAACAAGACAAAAAGACATCAAAGGACAAGAACCCTACACATACAGAGAACTCAGACAAATGCAGTTGCAGAAGAATAAATAAAAGATCAACATCACAGCTTTGAGGCTACCAACAGGGTAATCGCCCTACCCACTGAGGGACCAGAGTGCCCTGCCCAAGAGCTTGGGAGTCCCATTTCAGCCCCAGGTTCTATGTGAGCCATATCATAGGTGGATCCATGCCCAGCCCAGACGGCATTCTTCCCCACTTAGGGATTTTGCTTGCTGGCTTGACAGAGCTGGCTCATCCCTTCCTGTGTGCTGATCTCCAGGCAACTGGCACCACCAGTTTTAGGAGGCAGAATACAGTATCTAGGCAGGACCAGCAGAAATCCTGCAGGAGCAGGACAAATAAAAGCAGCACTGCCAGTAAGCCAACCTTCTACAAGTGTGCTGTTTTGCCTAGATCTTCAGGATTTAGAAGATCATGACTACAGTCACTTGCTCCTTCTTCTTCATCCATACAGCAAAAGCGTTTCTCAATCCTATGCTCTTAAAGTCATTTCATTATACCACTGACATGTATTTTGGGTAGAAAATAAAATTTTGGTATTGATACACAAGAATTAGTGAAATTTTCAATTTCAGGATTTTCAGATTGCTACTAGTTAGAAAAAAAAAAAATCACTAGTATTCAGAATATTAATTCTGTTAATCTGAAGTTTCATGTTTAAATGTATAATTCCTGCAAAATTATTTATGAGATGTATATCAAAATGGTATATATAGACATTTAAAAATATCGAGGAAAGCTATCAAAATTCCTGTCGGTAAAGATAAAGACTTGTTTTCAGCGCGTGACATAAATTTGCCTAGCCCTAGGATATAATTAGACTAGGTAGACCGAAGTTACACACCTATTCTTCCAATGACCAAAACAGGTGGCTTTGAACTGAGCAACAGCAGTCAGTGCTAATGCAGGAAACAAGTTAAATCAACAAAGTGCATCAAAGCTGTTTAGGTTTGCTCCAACAACCATGAACTTGCAAATGTCCATTTACCCGATGAGCACAGATACGCCTTTTTAACTGAAGTCAATTGTACAACTGCATTGTGTGAGTCCATCGACACGCCCGTGATGCTGTATGTTATTAGTGGTGCATTCCTCCATGCAGTGCAAGGGAGTGCTATTACTGTCACATACACTGAGCAGCTGTCAGACAACAAAGACTTTGTTAAAGCAAACAAGCAAGAATATTTTACATAAAAGCATTTTCGTATTAAAAGTATCATCTGTTGCTTTTTCAGTATCTGAACGTTAACGTAGAGAGCACTCCTTACCTCCTCTCTTGTTTAACTTGGCATACCCAGGTACATAGCTGCTTGTCATAGATGATGAACTGCTGAAGGAGGAGTGGGGTAACGCTGAGACCAAAGGCTCATCACACTTCTCTGAAACACAAGAACACAGATTCACTTTCTACTGTTAATAATTCATACATATTAAGTGGCAATGTGCCTTTGATTTTTCTGCTGGGTTATAACATAACCTTGTTATTTTTTACACATGAAATGCATTAGGCTACAATCCAATATTTTAGTTTAAAAAACCCAACCACAAACCAAACAACAGAAATTCCCAAACCCCAAACCCACACTGACAAGCAAAAAGAAAAAAAAATCACCCCAAAACCCACAAACACATACACACACCCCTCAACATGGGAAAATAAAGGCTTCAATAAAGGAGAGAATTAGCTAATGGTGCTGCCTAACTATATGCCACCACTCTCCTTCCAGATACTACAAGTGAACAAGCAAGCTGGCCCTGGCACATCTGAAATGGCTTATTCAACATGAAAACCCAGTGCTAATGAAAAGTATTATCATGAAAGCTTTGTAACAAGTAGCTAAGATAAAACCTCTCAGTACTGTAACTGAAGTGCTGATAAACTGATATCTTAAAAAAGGAAACCAATTCGGGTACATTAATAAATGCCTATGAATTATCACTTATTACAGATTTACTTTAGAACTTAGAAAAACATAAATTATTTTGGTGTGTCTGTTGTTGTTTTGGTTGGGTGCTTTTTAAATAGGATCTCTAGAATCCATGAGTACGTCACATCTATTTTACCCAGTATAAATAAGACTTTGTATTAGCACCTGAGATGGACAAAAAAAAACCCAAATCAGAATCTTTGCCTTTCTAATGGAAAAGTTTAAAACAAATCCACTGTTGTATGAAGTTACATAAATCAGAACAAAGAGAACTGCATTTTGATTTTTCAAATACCCAGGTAATATACTGCCCTTTGCCCTTTTTCCTCAATTACTTCAACAGAGGAATAAAATGTGTGCTACATTACTCATTTACATTTCAGGTACAGCCTAAAAAACTTCATCATCTACACCAGATGTCTTGATTCATCCCTTCATCCTTTTGAACACACAGACACTGCAACACAGGCACTGCTGCGAGCAGAAACACCTCAATTTATACATCTAGAAAGCACTACACCACCCCTGTTTCTGTTTGGCAGGATATTTTAGTGCTCAGCCACACCATATAATTTTGGTACTACTAGGAAATAGTGATTTGGTCAGACTGGATCATACAGAGACTGAATTAATCCTACCATGAAAAGAGGAACCTCAATGGGAAAAAAAAAAAACAGGCTTGTGAGCAAACCAAGTCATTTATAATGCAGGTCTCCTAAAATTTCCAGCCTCATGTAATGAAAAATAAAATTATTTTCACAGCAATAGAAACTGAAGCAATGAAATACAGGAGAACATTTGCTCATGAGTCAGTACTCTTGACATTTAACAAAATAAGCAAGTTTCCTTCACAAATCTCCAACAGTTTGTTAAGGGAGAAAACAAAACTCATACGAGCATAAAAGCACAGGCAAGGGGAAAGTACAATTGCTTTGCACTGAATTAAAGGACAATTCCAATGGCTTTAAAGTTCACAACCACACTATTTAATGATGGAATTTTGACAGGGGAAAATAAATGGTTGTAAGCATTATTGTTTATACCACAAAAATAAAAGGACCAATTCACCTCTTCCCTCCTTGCCCTGCCTTGGATGCGGCCACACATGGTCAAGAGTCTGTAGCCACAGAGGCACCATGTCTGAAGCTCACATCATGCCATCTAAAGCAACACACCAGGGATGCACAGGAGCAAACCCTGGCAGCAGAGGCACAGCACTGAGCAAAGGCTTACCTGGGTGCCAGGCTGCTGTGATTTCAGTCACAGTTCAAGGTCAGAGCTTCACAAAAGAAGTGGTTTGGGCTGAAAGGGACCTTAAAGTTCATCCAGTTTCAAGCCCCCATCAAGGGCAGGGACACCTTCCACTAGAGCAGGTTGCTCCAAGCCCCGTCCAACCTGGCCTTGAACACTGCCAGGGATGGGGCAGCCACAGCTTCTCTGGGCACCTTGTGCCAGCACCTCAGCACCCTCACACGGAAGAACTTCTGCCTAATGTCTAATCTGTACCTCCTTTCTTTTGAGCTTAAAGCCATTTCCCCTTGTCCTATGTCACTACATAGATTTTTTACTATTTGTAAAAAGCCCCTCTCCAGATTTCCTGTAGCCCTTCTTCATATTACAATCACAGAGTTAAAGTTTCTCAACTATTTACCTACAGTATTTTTTCAGTTGTTCAAATAAACAGGTTTTCAACAAAGACTGCTAGCAATCTGCTCTCGCTGCCTCTTCATTGTTAGTAGCTAGAGAGTTGAATTAATTTGCCATTAATACTGTTCTTAGGTAAAACGCAAAGAGAACATTTGAACAAAGAAGTACACATAAGCAGAAATATTTTACAAATACATAACAAAGTCTCTTTATCATATTTTCCAATGCTTATCTTATGTGATATTGACTGTAAGAGAAATATATTCACATTCATAATGAGAGCTAAGGCTGAATATCTGTTCCGTTGGGGGGGGGTGTGGTATATTTTTGCCAAGCAAATCATAGGGGTTAGATGGTTTTCCCCACACCTATACTTTCACACTGGGGGCTGAGGAGAAAACTCCCCATCTGTATGGAAGAATATAAGTAGAAGAAAGGTTTAGCCACAGAACTGTATGCTACTTCTGCAATTTGATTAATTATGGAATGTAATGGGAAGCTATTGGTCATGATACTCTAAAAAGAATAATTTGAAACAAAAGAGCTATAAGAACTCCCATCTAAAAAGGGATTAATTTATTCAACAGAAATGTGTTCAGAAACAATGAGAGCTTTGGAAAAAGCCTTTCCAAATCACAGAAGCTCATCAGAACTTCTTTTCTGTAGCGACCCCACTAGCTATAGAGAACACTTCCTCCTTGTATTTTGACAGCTACGATATCGCTGCTACTATTGATGATGCCACACGAAAAGAAGTATGGGGAAAACTTCTATGGAAAAAGTACTGACTTCTAAAGCATCCTCCCCCTGTATGGTCTTGCCTTGTCTCTCTGCTTCCTTAACTTGGATTCAAACAAATGAGAAAGACAAGCCTGACATAGCCAAAAACTAAAACTAAAATCCCACAGGGAGTACCGCACTGTGTTTGTCCCTGTGATCCCAAGTCTTACTGTCAGTCATTAATGTGCTTCATTTGGTGTATGTCTGCTTTTGAAGTATTGAACCTGGCCACCTGCTTTCTCAGTGTGGCTGGAATCACCAATACTAGGGTCAGGGGTGGTGGCAGTTGAAAAAGCAAACTTAATTGGTACCGTCTCTTCCTTCCCTGTTGTTTAGAACTGCATTCGCTTCTTATGCCTGTTTTGGGATCCCAAGTAATAAGCTTCTTACTGTTTAAAAAACAAACACACACACCCTGTCAACCTGCTCACTCATTTAGGCTTCAAAATATAGGAAATTCACCACAGATGTGTATGAATTACAGGGAAGCATTACACTTTGAATGAACAGCTGTTAAAAAAGATATTGATCTCATCAATAACTCAGGACTTTGGGTCCAATAGAACAGAAGTTAAAAGTCTGCTTACATAAGCTAATATTTCTAGCTGTGTATGAAAGTTCCACTAAATATACTGCACTATTTAAACTTCCTTCGTAACATGAAATGCTGTTATGCCACAGATTTAAGAGTTACAAAAAATCCTTGGGAACCTTTGGTTCTTTCAGCAGTTCTAGTTATTTCCTGCAGAATCCAATTTTTTACTTACTAAACGAGAATCATATATACCTTCCTGTTACTGAGATATAATAGCTTTTCCCATATAAGTCAATGTACTGTGCCCTGTTAATCAATTACAGGGCACAGGGGCCTGCCAGCATTGTGGCAGCAAAGAAATAAACTCTCCTCCATCCCATTTATCTCAGTGATATATTAACATCCAAGCCAGCTTAGGTCCATTTAAATGGTAACTTCCTAAAACAAACCAGCTCTTCCACTCCACTCTTTTCTGTTCGGATAGACAGAGCTGATAACTTTGTCACAGGTGTGATGACATTTACTACTCTGACTTTCCTATTCAGAGGGAAATTAGTTTATATCCATCAGAAACAAATTTCCTTGATATGTAAATAATAAGATCAATGGAAGAAAGGTCACCTAATGACATTAAATACAAACGCAAAACCTCAGCAATCCACAAGCTTCAAATTCCTAGACTATGGAACGGAAGGACCCCTATGCATTTGCTCTGGTCTTACATGCTTTCTCAGGCACCTGGCTACTGGAAACCAGAGGAGATGGATCTTCTGCCCTACCAGAAGCCTCTCATATGTTCTGGTGTCCTCACTCAACAAAACTAGGAAAGGATACCTGTTCTTTCCTGCTCTACAGTCTATGTGTAGTTTACAGTTTATAGCCTACCCATCATACTGGATAGACTGAAGGGCTGCATTCCACTTTGCCAGCAATTGCTTTAGTTCACACCTGGTTAGTCCATGAACTATTTGGGGAACAGGGACCAGACAATTTGATGGCCAGACCTTGACTTTATTACAAAGCAGACCATGCACACACAAACTTTGATTTATCAACCTCAGAGACTGTTAAAGCTTATTCCTCGCTATGCCAGTGACTTTAATGATTTTTGGTGGGCAAAGCAGAGTAAAAAAACCTCAATACTTCACAGAAGTCTGTTCCAATGCTTAGCATCCTGATCAATAGACAGGTCATCTGTAAAGTCACTGACGTATTTTATCAAAGCAGTCTGAGAAGATGAAAAAGACTATCTGCAGTTCATCATTATCTTCTTGCCATTAGTATCTACTAGCGGGTTAGAATGCATACAAACAACTACACCTTTAGAAACGTTAAGGAATAGGAACAGTACATATTTATAGTCATAGGTGGCTTTTATTAATAATCTGAAGCTGCTCTGGAGGTTACCTCAGAAGCTCTTGCAAAGATTCTGTCAGTAAAGTAGAAAGAGCTGTGTAGAGTACTTAAAAGAAAGAAAAACATTTGGATA